GTCCTCAGGTCTCACCACACTTTGGACCAACCAGTCCTTCCTTTTCTCTCTCTCATCTCCAGGTGAACGGGACTCAATGGACTGTGGTTGAACTCAGTCAATTTCTGCATTGCAGATGCCTTTCCCCCACTTCCACCCACCAGTAGAACAATGTGGTTGCCAGCAAGCTTACATGGTTGTTTGTGTGTTTCCTTTGAGTTTCAGTCTTAGATGGGAGTTTGTCCTGAAGGAACTTGATTGCCCTTTGTAATTCTTAGGCTTTTATTGTTTGGGGTTTGTTATTTTTTCTGATTGTTTTTCTAGCAGATTAGAATTGAGAGATTTGTCTTCAACCTCACTAATACTGTCTTCCATTGGTTCAGTTCTACCCGTTTGCTGTGTCAGTCTACTATCTATTCCTGAAATCTTAGTATTAATGTTCTGGGGTTCTCTTTACTGTTTTTGTATGGTTTCTAACTTTTCATAAATTTTGTCAGTTTGTTCTTAACAGTATTTTCCTAAATTATTTTAAAGTTTTGTCTGCGTTTTCTTTGATTTCTAACGCTTTCTGGATCTTTCTCTAAATCTGTTAAAAGTATCTAAATATTCCTTTTTAAATTTGCATGTCTATTTTATTTCCATTAGAAAAATACTATCTACATAAAATATTGGTCCACTTTTTTCTTTGCCTCTGCTATTCAACTTGACTAATTTTATTCAAGTAAAAACAGAATCATACATCTGACGGAGAAGTAAGCATATTTTAAACTATTGTTGTTGTTAAGTGCTGTTGAGTCAGTTCCTAGGAGACGCTGGTGAGCTTGAACCGCTGACCTTGTGATTTGAGCCAACTTTGTAGCCCACTGCAGCACACCAGGACTGACTCCATTACGTTGTTGTTGTTGTTGTTGTTAGGTACCATCGAGTCAGTACCAACTCATAGTGACCCTGTGCACAACAGAATGAAACACTGCCCAGTCCTGGGCCAACCTCACAGCTGTTGTCATGCTTGAGCCCAATGATGCTGCCATTAAGTTAGTAGGATTTAATTGGATCCTACTTCTCAGATAGAGTATATATATATATATATACATATATATATACTTTTAAAGGTTATTATTGTAAATTATGTGTTAGTTTACATGGGTGAACATTATCTTTACATTCATCCTATCGTACATACTTTGTTTCATTGCAACGATCACAATCCCCTGCATGCATCATCAAACACCCAAAGGGTACACCCCACACTCCTGCCCTCCAGCCGCCAACACACAACCTTTCACCCTCCCTGAGTCCAGAGTCCCCAGCCGCTCCTTCTGTCCACGTCATTGCCTCTGCCTCCATCTCTAGTGTCAACTGCCTCTCTGGACACGGTTTCACACTTCGCTTTTCCAGGGATCTCTGCTAGATCATTTTTTTGCATGTTGTTTTCCCTTCACATTTATTTATCTGCGTAACTGTGTAATGAGTGAATCATCTTCCACATTTGGTGACGTGAGCATGCATAAGTGTGATCTAGAACATTGGCAACAGCATTCATCATCTAATATTTAATTCACAGCCAGTTCCCCATTACAGGCATTTCCCACAATGATCTTCAGATATTTTAAGCTTCCACTTCAACCATTAATTGTAAAAATTTAGTGTTAATTTAAAAATAGTATGAAAATCCCAGAGTAATCAATACTGGACCCACCTATAGTCATGCAGAGGAGAGTGGTCCTTGGGAAGCTATTGCTTCTGTCTCAGGGCAGCCTTCTTTAGGCAAAACAGCAACTTGGTAAGCAGCTCTTGCAGGAAAAGTACTCTTGAAATACTGTGTAGATTTCACTGACAGCAGTGAAGTCATTTATGTCAGCGAGCAACACTGTCATTTGTACCACATTAGTGAAGCCACAGCCTGCAGCTTTCAGAATTTCAGACCACCTCTCCTGGCATGAGCTGTCCTTTTGAAGGATTCCTACTTAGCTGTCCCGAAATATAGACGGTCCTGTTAACTAACACAGCTGGGACTGTAGGGACCAATGGCCCCTGGGACTTCTGTGACACTGATCTTCTTTCTGATCAAGGATGACATGGCTAATCCATTTAGTCCAAGGTCAGTGGAAAGAGCAAGACACTCACTATACCAGCCTCACTCCTCACCAAACTCTCTAAATACTCTTGAATTCCTTATCAGGTAATTTCAATACCAGTTCTTCCACAGCAAGGTTTTCTGGCTCTGTATTTTGCTCACTTGTTGAACCACTCAGTCTTGTTTCTCCGTGTGAAATGAACTTGTCTGTTGTCTCTGAGACATTGTGTTGTTGTTGTATTTGTATTTAATTGGTAATTGTATGTTGGTGTGTTGTTAGGCACACGTCAGTTGCCTCCCTGTGGTTGTTTTTGAGAAGGGGAGTGTGTTTGCAGCTCTCTCTTTGCTATGGGCTTCGTGAGGCTCAGGCTGGGTTTGACAGATGTTGGTCTATGGTTGATCGGGTGGTACAGGAGGGTGTGGAGGTCCTGGCCCAGCAGGTGGGGCTGTAGGAGCGATGGGTGTGACTGGGCCTTGGAGTTACTGTCTCCTCCCAGGTGGGAAAAGACCAAAAGAGAAATAGCAACAGCAACAGCAACAACAACAACAACAAAGGTGGACACCAAGCTTACAACACAAAAAGAAAAAGAAATGAATAGCTATGAAGAAAAACTGGAAAAGAAAAACAAAAGGGAACAGGAAAAAGCAAACAGAACTAGACTAGAAGAAAAAGAAAAGAGAGTAGTAAAGAAAAAAAACCCTAAAAACAAAGGGAAGGGAAAACAGAAAAGCAGAGAATTAAAAATAAGGGACGAGAAAACAAAGAAAGGAGAAAACTGAGGGGCGTGGGGGGTAGGGCACCTGGTATGGGCCAGTGCCCTGTGCCAACCAAGGACATTATCGGGGTGGGGTGCCCGGGACACCCAGTCCCATTGTCCTGCTGGCCTAGAAGGAGTGTGGGATCAGGGCGCCTGCTCCTCGGGGTAATTTCTGTCTGCCCAGGGCTGGCTGAGGGCAGAGCTCTGTGCATTCTGCTGGTTTGTGAGGTGTAGAGTTCATGTGTCTCCAGACTCGGGTGCCGTGCACCTGGCACCCAATCCACGGGGGTGCACCTCTGATCAATGACTGTGCAGGGGAGGGGTGTCTCAGGTGGGTGAGGGTGTTGGGGGGCAAGGGGCGGACCCCACCTTTCTGGTCACCAATTTGTATGTTCCTGGGTGAGCTGCTTGCAAAAGTCAAATATGGCGGCACTGTGTCGGGTCTTGTTCAGCGTCTTCTCCTAGCCGGTATTAGATCCACTTCTCTGTCCTTTCCTCTGAGGCTCGGGGCTCCAGGATCATCCACATCTGTTTCATTTAATCTCATGCTTCTTTGTTGTAGACAGTCTGGGTAGCGTGTCTGCCCACTCCGTCATCGTGCAGGAAGGAGATTCACCAGCCCCGGAAGCCCCAGGCACACGCCTGCGCACCATGGTAACCGAGCAGGAGGTGGAGGCCATCGGGCGCACGCTGGTGGACCCCCAGCAGCCCCTACAGGCCCGCTTCCGGGCGCTTTTCACGCTGCGTGGACTCGGGGGCCCTGATGCTATTGACTGGATCAGCCGGGCTTTTGGTGACGACTCGGCGCTGCTTAAGCATGAGCTGGCCTACTGCCTGGGACAGATGCAGGACGCGCGCGCCATCCCCGTGCTGCTGGACGTGCTGCGGGACACGCGCCAGGAGCCCATGGTGCGCCATGAGGCAGGTGAGTGGGGCCGCCGGCTTTTCTGCCGCTTTCTCCCAGAGAACACCGAGCAGGCTCGAAAAGGACCGGTTCCGAGTTTCACAAGCCAGGTAGTTTATGTCTGGGGCTTCTTAACCCAGACTCTGCAGTCTTAGAGCAAAAGCTGGAGTTTAAACTAATGAGATGTGGCTATGTGCCAATAAAACTTTATTATTTTCAGATACCGAGATATGAATTTCATAGTTTTCAGGTGCCCTGAAATAGTACAGGCCGACCTCGAGGCTAATGGCGGTTTGGGTTCCAGACCACAGCCAATAGGGCATATCTGAGTAACGCAGATCACAGATTTATTTGGTTCGCAGTGCAAAGTGTGCAGTGACCGTAAACATTTTTGAGAAAGACCTAAACAGGACGCAGAGACCCAAAGCCAGCACAGGCTCTAGGGAAAACAGCGCTGATAAGCTTCTCCGCATGAGGGTTACCACAAAACTTCTGTTTGTACAAAACACCCAACTCCTCCTAAGTTCCCAGGCGGCAAACAGTTAACCTCTGGGCTACTAACTGAACGATTGACAGTAAACCCACACAGAGGTACCTCAGAAGAAAGGCCTGGAGATTTGCTCCCAAAGGTCACAACCATTGAAAGCCCCGAGGAACCTGGTTTTAGTGTGAGATCTGTAACGTCCTTGTGAGCCCTAATCAACTTGACAACAAGTGGTCTTGGTTGCTGTTGTTAACTACCTGCTGAGTCCATTCTGACTCACAGTGACCCAGTATAGGGTTTCCGAGGAGCAGCCGGTGAGTTTGAACTGCCGACCTTGTGATTTAAACCCACCTTGCAGTCCTGTGCTTATCCTACCACTCATATCAGAAGTCCACAACTGGTGGTGATGGATGGATATTTCAGGTTTATTTCATCCACTCAGCATCTGTTTGTGGAGGGATCACAGCAGTGGCAACAAGGACACCCAGGAAACCAATGGGGTAAATTCTTGGAGAGGCTTTGCCATTGTAACCCACACGCACTTCTGGAACGCACTTGCAGTTAACATACGGTGGTGGTGGTGGTGGTGGTGGTGATGTGCCGTGGAGTTGATTCTGACTCATAGCGACCCTGTACAGGGTTTCTGAGGCTGTAAATCTTTACGGGAGCAGAAAGCCTCATTAGCTGGTAGTTTCAAACTGCTAATACTGAGGTTCGCAGCCCATAACCACTACGCTACCAGAGCTCCTGTCCCTCACAGTTTAGGAGGCTAGAAGTTTACATTCTGATTGCTGGCTCCCAGGAGAAGGCTGCTCTCAGCACCTGCAGGCATGATCTCCATCTGTCTTAGCATCTGTCTTCACCTGCGTCTGGGGACTTCACAGTATAGGGACCCCAGGTCCACAGGATGCGTTCTAGTGCGAGTTTGTCTTTCTTCGTGGTACTAGGTCCCTCTGAGCTCATCTTGACTATAATCTCTTTATATCTCAACATCACAGCACCTCTAAATGCTGGTGTGTCATAACGGCTCTGGGCCTGAGAGTGTTATATCCGTTGTCGAAGAACCCGAGGCCACTAGGAGAGGTGAAGCAGAGTTTCAGATTTTATTAAGCTGGCTGGCTCAGAGGAGCTAACTTCTCCAGATTCTGAGCCCCAAGTGCAGGACAGTGCAGACTTATATGGGGTCAGAATCAGGGAGGGGCTAGGTTGCAGAACTGTTTGAAGACAGGAGGGGGAACCAGAAGATTGGTCCCTCTCGGTAACCTGATTAGCATTCTGGCTTGTCTCCTGGGCAGGTAGAATTGGTCCCACTCAGTAACCTGATTAACATTCCAGCTTTTCTCCCTGGAGGAGAAGGCAGTGAATGATTTTACCTTTTCCTGTTCATTAAAAGCAATCTACTCAATTTGATAAAGGAAGCAAGTGTAAATTGCTACAATTTGAGGAACTTGACCTATACTTATGGATGTAGTAGCTAAACATACCAACTGTGAATGAAGGAGTCTTCACATCAAGTATCAATCTTATCCCCTCTATATACAGAGTAGATAGGGACGGGCAACTTAGACATTGGCTAGCTAAAATGAGGGGGCAATAAAGGCACAAAGTGACTGGCTTACAAGTTTTCAAAATGGAGTTTAGTTTCAGAGTAAGCAGGGGAAGGTAGAATCCCCACTGAATAGTTTTCGTCTTGTCTAGAAGGGTCTGGTGAAAGGAAATGGAGGTAGGATTCCTTTGATTGAATAGTGAGTAATTGTTATCATGACTAATTGCAACTGTCACAACTGTAAAGGTGGAAGTTTTGTAACATAAAGAGGGGAGTAGTTAATCTTACAGTTCAGAAACTGAGGACCCTAGGACCTTCAAGGGAGAAGAGCATGAGCGGAATGTGG